ATTAAGAAATTTTATTGCTTTGCCTTTCACATTTAAATCTTAAATTCACCCAGAATCAATTTCTATATTTGGTCTGAGGTGAGTCATATTTTCTTTTTTTCCAAATAGGTATCTAATTGTTCTGAAATAATTTATTGAAAAGGCCTTCCTTTCCTAATCCCTCAGAAGTGCCTTTAGTCATGTATCTAAATGTGTGTAAGTCAGTTTCTGAACTCTCTAATCCAGCGGTCACCAACCTTTCGGACCTCACAGACCACCAGTGGTCCGTGGACCACCGGTTGGTGACCGCTGCTAATCTATTCCATTGGTTTAATTATCTATCTTTGCACAAATACTCTATTGTCTTAATTACTTTACATGACTTTTTAATATATATTTTGTTAAGCAAATCCACCAATCTTGTTCTCCAAGAATATCTTGGCCATGCTTGGAAGTGCTTTACATATCCACATAAATAATAGAATCAGTTGGTCAATCTGCAAAATTTAAAAACCCTTTGGGATTTTGACTGTAATTGCTTTGAAACCATAAATCAATTTGGGGCAAATATCTTTATAGTACTAAATTGTCTCACTAGTTAACAGCATCTCCAAATCTACCTGTAATTTGAAAAATCACCTGACCTACCCCTTCCCACTCCCAATTCCTATTCCCAGAAGTAATTTACTTTAATTTCTAATATTTATGTGGATAGTTCTAAATAAAATGTTTATATTCTTTTTTTCTACATTTTTTTCCATTTTTAAAAGACATTATCCTTTGAATTCCTATCAGTAATTTGCCTCAGGGAATTCAGGGAATTGCCTGAGTGGAATATTCAGAATTTAAATTTATGTCTGTTTCCAGACCTATGTTCTCAACCACTAGCCATCTGACCTCTCAAAGGCAACATCTAGTTAACTGATATCAATAAATGAGTCCCTTTATTATATTTAGTGACTATAAAATATAACAAGCTAGATATGACAAGTAATGCTAAAAATTAGTAAGACATGGTCCCTACCCTCAAGGAAGTCAGAGTACACTGCAAAGGCACAAAGACACATAAATATATTGAATATAAATTGGGCTTTCATAACTACTTAATTAAAAATGCAAAAGGGGCTGTCAAAATTTGAGGGGCAGAGGGGAAGATTAATGATCTAAGAAAAGATTTTTGTGGGAGATTGGCCTTGAGCTACATCTCGGTTCAGGGACACCATACTTAACAGCATCCAACATACATCAAAGCATGATACTGAGACAGAACAGAATCTTAGTATATAAAAATTATCCTCACCAGTGAAGCCAAAAAACGAAGCACCTTGTTCTCATTCATCAGCATTTTAATAATATCTTTTTTCGGAGCTTTTGGAATGAGAACAAAACAATTCTGAGCAGAATCTTCGACTGGTCCAAAACCATTATAGGGAGGTAATTCCTGAAGAAATACAGGAAGCAAGAAGCAGATGCTATTTGTATTAAAAACTACAAAGTAACTAAGTTTCTTTGAAAAAACTAGAAAACATTTAAAAGATATTTCAATATTTAAAATGTAGTCAGAAAAAATAACACACTGCATATTCCATTCCTCTTATTATAGACTAGAGGCCCGATGCACAAAATCCGTGCAAGAGTAGGCCTTCCTTCCCCCGGTTGGAGGCACCGGCTTTCCTCTGGCACCTGGGACCCGGGCTTCCCTCCAGCTGCTGGCAGGCGCAGGCTTCACTCAGAGCCCTGGCTTTGTCCGGAAGGTTGTTTGGTCTAATTAGCATATTATGCTTTTATCATTACAGACTTTTTTTTGTTAATCCTCACCTGAGGATACGTTTTCCATTGCTTCCCAGAGAGAGTGGAAGGGAGGGAGGAACTGAGGATGGAGGCAAGAGGGGAAGAGAGAGAGAAACACTGACGAGAGAGAGACATATAACCAGGTGCTTCCTGCCCATGCCCTAACCCAGGGCAGGGAGCAAACCCACAAACCAGGTACATGCCCTTGACTGGGAATCGAACCCATGACCCTTTGATGTGCAGGTCAATACTCTAACCACTGATCAACACCGACCAGGGCTATTTATAGATTTTGTACCTTGATCATTCCTCATAGAGGTGACTGCTGATGCTACAAAGTAACTCTCAGGGCTACAGTGAAACTACTGCTGATGTTCACTGACCCCTTACCTGGCCCTACTCCCAGGCCCAATCCTGGCCCTTGTGACCATCCTAGCATGATTTTGTTAGTGGTGGAAGGGGGGAGTGGGGGGGAGTCCTTGTCCCCACCTGTTGCTCACGGAAGTGGAATTCTTGAGATATCTCAAAAAAGAGAATTTTCTGAGATTCATATGGTAGAATGAGTGATTTTTATTTTTTGTGGAATTACATCCCTGAGTTTCCAAGGCCCCCTCTCCCTCAGTCGTGCCATAGAAGTGTAGCTTTGGCTTTAGCAGGGCTAAAATCAGAGTCAGTGTCCAGAGTGTCCATTCCACGTTGGCACAATCCGATACAGCATCAGGATAGCTTAATTTGTGTTTCCTGCCACAGTCCATCAGTCCACTGCATGCGGGGTTTCCCGGGCCACATGGCTATGGAGGAAACAAGGGCGAAAGCAAGGAAGCAGGGGAGACAGTGCCCCATGAGCCAAGAGTCACAAAAGCAACATGAGGGCAAACTCCTTTAAGGGATGATGCAGCCCCACATTTTCATGGGCTTGTATTAGCCACACCCATTCTGTTCCCAGGTGTGACTGACAGGAACCTTCCCTAGTCATTCCAACTTCTCTGCGCATGCATCCATCTCCGCTTTGTTGGACCCCTTCTCCCTTCTCCCTGTGTTCTGCAGGGAATGGACCAGTGTTTCTCGAGAGAGTGTGAAATGGCAGCTTCCTGGTTAAGCTTCCCAAATGGCCAAGCTTATCATCTCTGGCTTCCCCCTTTGCTCCTGTCCTACTATTAATAACCATTAATTATAACGGTATCAACTTGGTTCATTTTCTCTCTTCCACATTTCTAATATTTTCATTACTTGAGTTTTGCCTCACAGAAGAGGGATGACAGCCGTACTTACTGAGAACTCTCCTTTCCTAGTGAAGGGGCAAACTCAAAATAAATTTCATTGGTGAGTAGTGTAGAAGTATATAGGATGCGCTTATATTTCTCATTCAGGTTCCACAAAGAGCTGAAAGCATCACTCTAGGATAGTGACGGTGAACCTTTTGAGCTCGGCGTGTCAGCATTTTGAAAAACCCTAACTTAACTCTGGTGCCGTGTCACATATAGAAATTTTTTGATATTTGCAACCATAGTAAAACAAAGATTTATATTTTTGATATTTATTTTATATATTTAAATGCCATTTAACAAAGAAAAGTCAACCAAAAAAATGAGTTTGCATGTTACCTTGGACACGCGTGTCATAGGGTCACCATCACTGCTCTAGGATGCTAGGATTTGCTTGTCTCGAAGCTTAAGTAGTTTTGAGGGTGTTATCCACTCTCTCATCAATACTAGCTAGAAAGCATCAGAGTTCTTTTCCTCTGATTCCTTGCTATGCTTTCTTAGCAAACTCAGCTTGTTCCTTGTTTTTCACTTGTACTAGTAGATACCTTCCCCAAATCTTTTTATAAATTATGTCCAGGCACTTTAACAAATTAGTCTATAAGATCCCTGGTCCATCTGTAATAGGGTACTCCCTCAAAACCCAGTAACTCTGCCACGCTCATTCAAGGTGTAGTGATCAGAACACTGACCCTGCATTCCACTTGCCAGGGCTGCAGTGATGTGATCATCATGGCTGGAATATGACAGAGGATCTGGTGGGTGGGCAATGACCTAATTTGCTCCAAGTGCAACACCACTGCTCAATGAATGTACAAGCTTTCATGGACAGAGGGATCTGTGTGAGATGCCAAATACTAGTAAGTTTTGCATTACTCTGGAGGCCAGGCAGAAATGCAGTGGTGGGATCTAAACTTGCTTTGCATCTGCAATAACACACAATGACAGCAGCCTGGTTGGGGGATGGGGGTGGAGGTCGAGAGATTTTGAAATAGGGAGATACCTGTAAGCCTCTGAGTGCCTTCCTCTCAAATTCCTTTTGTGTTTGACAAGATTCTACCTGCTTTTCCTGAATTGCACCTCATTTGCTCCGCTTGGAATGAAGACCTTCCCTAAATATCAGCCCATATACTTGGGAGTCCTGGCACCGGGCTTCTCATACTCCAAGTTACTGCCTGGGTCCTGTTTAAATCTAGATGAGCCACTTCTCTATGGACATTCTCACTCGTAGTTACTCCTCCTCTTATGATCCACCCACCAGAGTTTCTGTCCAGGCTTTCTAAACAAAGCAAGTATAACAATGAGCGTGAAAGTCCCATATCCTCTCACTTACTGCCTTTAGGGGACATTTCCATAGCAGATTAGCTCTCCTAATCCTTGGTTTCCTCTGCTGCCTCACCAGCATGTCTCCATATGGAGCCAGCTAGAGAGGGAAACACATCTGGCCATTGGACCCATGTTTACTTACTCCCAATCTAGCAGATCAGCCTGACCTATGAGTGTTGTGATTCTCAAACTGAATGTATCCCTTTCATATCCACTTCTGCCCCTGACCATTAGCTTGGCTCCAGCTTTACCCCTCTAGACCCTGCTACTGTGTCCCATCCCTGCTTTACAATTAAGTTGTTCAGGGTTTAAATGACCGAAGGGTCAAGACTAAGGAGAGCTAAATGTATTTGCAGTTTGGTAAGAGGAGCTCTCTTACTCATTTCCAACACAGACTTTTATTAAAAGGCAGAGAATTTATTTGTAATATAGAGAATTTACTGAAAATAAACTGACCAAACACTATAATTAATGTGCCATATATATGGAGGTAGCTAGTTTTAGTATACAGAGTGACTGATAGGCAAAACAAACATCTACGTAGTTCTTCACTTCTCTCTGCTCTCTATCCAAATCTCCCCATCCTTTACTTTCTTTGGAAGACAGGTTAAGAGGAAAAAAAGTATTATGGTAATGAAAGTGGAATGGAGAAGTATCCTAGGACTCAAAAGCTCTTATCAACTCAAAAGATGGATCAAAGGGTTCCAAAAGATGCACCACTGTTACAATCCCTCCCATCCCACCCCCTGCTTAGGTAAAGCTCACCCTTGCACTTTGCAGTATGACCTTGGGAAAGTCCCTTGGACCGCTATCTTATACTACACTTATCTGTAAACTAAAGTGGTGGAATAGTTGGCTTGATCAGAATCTAGATCTGTTCCCATGGTATTTTTTCATATATACTCCATCAAATGTTGCCAAAAATTTGAGGGTGAGGCACATTCAATGGTACAGAGTTCTATCAGAAAAAAAAACAACACCAACTGATAGCAAGAAGTGCAGTCATGTATCATAATGACAGAAATATGTTCCGAGAAAGGCGTCATCAGGTGATTTCAGCATCGTGTGAACATCATAGGGCACACTCACTCAAATCTAGGTGGTATAGCCAACTACACACCTAAGCTATATGGCATAACCTAGTCCTCCTGGCTACAGACCTGCAGAGCATGTGACTATACTGAATACTACAGGCAAGTGTAACAGTGGTATTTCTGTATTTAAACATAGATAAGGCCTAGTAAAAACATGCTATAAAGATAAAAAATGGTTCACCTGTATGCAACACTTACCAAGAACGGAGCTTGCAGGACTGGAAGTTGCTCTGGCTGAGTCAGTGAGTGAGGAGTGAATGTGAAGGCCTGCACATGACTGTACACTTTCCAAACACTGTACCCTTAGGCGATATTAAATTTATAAGAAGATATTTTTCTTCAACAATAATTTAATCTTAACTCACAATAATGTTTTTACTTTAAAAATTTTTGAATTTTTAAAAAAATTTCAACTCTTCTATGGAAAAACTTGGCTTAAAACACAAACTTTGTCCAGCTGTATAACAATATTTTTGTTTATATCTTTATTTTATAAGTTTTCTCTATTTTTAAATTTTTTCAGAACTTGTTTTGTTAAAAACTAAGACACAACTACACACATTAGCCGAGGCCTACACAGGGTCTGGACCTAAATATCACTGTCTTCTGCTCCACATCTGGAAGGTCTTGAGGGGCAGTAACACACATGGAGCTGTCCTCTACTCTGAGAGCAAATGCCTTCTTCTGGAACACTTTCTGCAGGACCCGCCTGAGGCTCTTCTTGAGGAGGTGTCACTGTTTTCAGAAACATGCCCATGATGGTTAGCTTGGGTTGTTTGTTTTTTACATCATAAATCTGCTTATAGACCAATAATGCATCATGAACATTCCTCTCTAATAATACAAACCTTTTGGTGTTGGGGGTCCATTTTTCAAACTTTCTAAGGAGTGTGTTGAGGTCTGCAAAAGCTTCTGCTAAAATCTTCACTGTGAATTTTCTTGGAGGTTCGTCTTTTTCTTCTCCTGCAGTTTCCTTTTCTCTTGCCTCTTCACCTACGCATTACAGTTCCAACAACTCTTCATTAGTTAATTTCTCAGGATCCACCTCTAGGAGCTCCTCAGTGTCATCTCATCCACACTCAGGCTAAAGTCATTTGCCATCTCAACCACAGTCTTCATTTTTGCAACATCCTCATCCTTGATAAAGCCTTTGAAGTCATGGGTGAATCTCCTGAGTGTCTTCTTCCAGATGCCATTCTTATACTCCTTGGTGACATCACCCCAAGTTCAAGTAAGGTTCTTGATGCAGTCAAAATGTTGTAATCCCTCCAGATTTACATCAATGACTTCCTCAGCTGCAGCGATAGCCTGGTTCAAGACCCTCCTCAGGTACTAGGCCTTAAAACCTGCTATAACTCCTTGATCCATTGGTTGCATCAAAAAGGGGGTTTTAGAGGGAGACATAGCACTTGGATACTGGGATGACTGTTACCGATAAAAGAAGGATGTTCAGGAGCATTATCAATAAGCAAAATCTTGAAGGGTATGTTATTCTCTAAACAGCACTCCATTTCAGAGCAATTCAGGAGGGCATCTTGGGAGAGGAGTTGAGTCACCCATGACTTCCATGTCCCTGTAGGAAACTGGCAATGTGTGCTTATCGATATGCTTGAAGCCCAGGGGTTCTCACTGTGCCAAATCACAAGGGTTTCGATTTGAAGCTGGCAATATTGCCCCTAAGCAAGACTGTTATTTTGTACTTTGTATAAAGCCTCGGAACCTGGCACTGACTTGGCCTCCTGTGGAAGGAAGTCCATTCATGCATCTGTTTCCAGAATATGGAGGTCTCATCCATATTGAATATTTGCTCTGGCAGATAATTTTGCTCCACAACCAGCGTATCTAGAGTTTCCAAAAATTCCTCAGCTGCCTTCACATCAACACTCACATTATGGAATGAATAACAATACTTGAATAATTTAAACCACCTAGAGCTAGTGATAAATTCACATCAAAGCTGGGACCAGCCTTTTCTTTCAACATCAAAAACAAATCTTTCGCTGTGCCTGTGATCCTAGTGGTGCCAAGAGGACATACTGCTGTGTCTACTCTTCCATCTGGGTCATTAGAAGTTTCTCCATATCTAACACAGGCCCTTCTCAAATTTTTGTTAGTCTCATTACCTTTGTTCTTGCTCTTCAAGATTGTAGCTATGGTGGAATGGGACATGCCTGACTGGAATGATGTAGCCATCACTAACTGTCTACCTTTGTAGTCTTTAATCATTTTCATTTTGCATCCAGATCAGTCACTGGCAACATTAGCAGTGGATTTGTATGCGTAGGGACCACAATGAGCAAAACGCCACAAGATTAATCACAAGAGAAAATGATGCAGTCAAGACGCGGTAAACACAAAATGTATCAGGCTGCTGCTGGCATAACACTGTTTTACAACAAACTTTATTTAAGTAGGTAGAACAAGTTCACTCTAAAATAATGATAAGAAGTTTAGTACATTGAAATTATAAGCTAGTGACACAGTCATTTACTATCATTACCTAGCCACATGTACATACATAACTGTATGAGCTGTAATTTTAAATGACTAGCAGTGCACGATTACAGCAGTGTCACCACAAACAAGTAAGTGATGTGCTGTGCTATGACATTATAATGCCACTTGGTGATAGGAATTTGTCACCTCCATTATAATCTTATGGGACCACTGTTGTACATGTGGCCATTGTTGACCCAAATATGACGCATGACTGTATTATTACCACCTACACCTGCTTCCAGAAGTTTTATTGCCCCTGAGAACTCACAGCATACACCAAATTCCAAATTCTTCTTTGCATTGTTTTAATGAAATGTTGGTTCCAAGAGGCTTGTTTAAGAGATCTTTTGGGATAGCAAACACATACTAATCAGGCAGTCTTCTTCAGTCTACTTCAAGAGACATACGTATACATACCTCTGATTTGCTGGGCACTGTTAGTTGCTAGGAGCACAAAGATGTACAGAATATAGTCCCTGCCCTCAAGGAATTTACAGCCTAGTTGAGAAAATGCATAATCAGGTATTTTAATGTAATAGATGAGTGCTCGTGGAGAGGCATAGAGCACCCCAGGAACACACAGGAGGTGGCCAGCCCTGCCTGGAGCTTCAGAGATACTCTCTTGGGAGAGAGAAAGCCTATACTGAGCTGTGAAGAATAAGAAAGAGTCGTGTGAAAAAAATGATGGAAAAGTGGTTTAAGCAGGTGAAGAGCATCGCAAAAGTCCAAGGGGGTAAATCAGAATGTAGCACCTGCAGAACCACACATTATTCAGTATAATGGAGGCTCAGGGCACACAGATAGGCAGCAAATGGGGAGAAGGTAAGGGCCTGGGCTGGAGCAACTCAATTCCATCCTGTTGTCTCTCTTTTGAAAAGAAACAGCCCGGCGACATTATTTTACACACACAGTGGCAACAGAAATGAGTCACAGGTCTGATCACCCTTCCTTATACATGAGCAACAGACAAAGAGGTTGTATGACTCACTCCTAATCCAAAAAGTTATAAAAACAATCACACTTTCAGTCCATGATACTGTTCTACCTTAATACTTCAGACACTTCTTGAATGTTTTGTATAATGTGTAATTTTTAAAATGTGCAATTCTCACTTGAAACTCTAAAATATGTGGCTGGGCCACTCTGAGGACTGAAGTTAACCATTTTACTATTTCAGTGCATTAAAAGCACCCTGAACTTACTATCATGTCAGAGTGGACTTCTGTGATGCTCAGAACTGAATTATGCAGTTCAGTGTGATTCTAAGGAAAGCTATGTTGCAATGAAAGAAAGTCATCTTCCAACATCTTCAGTTAATCAGTTTTTGTTGTGCTGTCAACCAGTTTTTCAGTGAAAGGGTTTGGTAAATAAGCAAGAAACAATGAAATGCCCTCAGGATCTGGAATGTGAAAAATGTCTTTTTAAAAAATCTAAATGAAAAAAATATTATAAAAGTAATGCAAGACTTGATATAAAATGAGAAATTAAAACCACACAGATTTTCTGGGTCAAGAAATACATAACATTTTATTTTGAATAAATTAAAATGATGACAAACTGACTTCAGAAAGTTTTTTTTCCTTACTTATCTATCATTTTTAAATATGTTATTATTGATTTTTACAGAGAGAGGAAGGGAGAGGGAGAGACAGAAACATCAATGAGAGAGAAACATCGATGAGGGAAACATGCGAGAGAAACATCAATGGGCTGCCTCCTGCATGCCCCCTCTAGGGGACTGAGCCCCAAACCTAGGCATGTGTCCTGACTGGGAATCAATTGATTCCCAGTCAGGACACATGCCCAGGTTTGGGGCTCAATCCTTTGGTGCATGGGACAGTGTTCAACCAGCTGAGCCGCTCCGGCCAGGGCAGAAAGGTTTTCCTTATTGGTCCTCCTTGAACAGTACATGAAAATATTTCTTCACGCAAGAGCAAACATAAGCTATCGCGAGTCTTTCAAAATCAAATAGATCCAAAACCTCATTATTTACATTCTATTTCTTCATCAATTAAGTTGCGGCTCTTTTCATATGTACATTAGCCATTTATATTTCTTCTTCTGTGAACTGCTCTATTTTATATGCTTTGTCCAGTTTCTTTTTTGTCTGTTTTTTGTTTTTTGGTTTTTTACTGGATATTCACCTGTCTTTTTTTTCCTTTTTCTTAAATTTTACATCAAAATATTAATTATCTCACTACACTCAGAACTAGCGTTCCATTACCTGTTTTACAGGAGGTTGTTCCTTCTTGCTTACGTCAATACACGGTAAATCAGAGATTCCAAACTTTTCTTTGTAATAGTGTCGAGTAAACGGATCACAATCGTAAATGAAGAAGGTTCTCCCGAGGATAGTGAGAGGCTTCCCAACGATGAAGTCCTTGGCAGTATACCATTCCAGCACCTCCTGATCGGAGATTTCCAGCACACACTTAGGGAAGTTCTCTAACAGAGAGCGGGGAGAGAGGAAAGAGGGAATGAGGATGGGACACACAGCAGCAGGGCATTCTTGAGAACCTGACGGAGTGCAGTGGTTGGCTCTGGTCAAGGGTCAGGGCCTCCTCTACATTCCCAGGGGAACACAGGCTGTGTACTTCCATCTGTTGACAGGACACATAAATAATACCCCAGATGGCTTTTGTAAAGTCTCTCTCCCATGTTCAGTTCCAACCATCACTACAGGTCACTGATCTTAACAGAATTAATGCTCAGGAGAAATCATCGCTGGAAAAAACAATAAAAGTCCTTGTGTAAAAAAAAAAAAGTCCTTGTGTAGAGTATTAGATCTAGAAGGAACCCAACAAATTATCAGTGATCACATATACCATGTACTAGGTACACTACTAAATACTGAGATTACAACAATTAACAATATAAACAACATTCCTGTCCTGATGAAGAAAGCATTCTGTTTGAAGTGACAGATATTAACAATTACACAAATAAATGGCTTCATTTCAATTGTGATCACTGCTGTTGGGAGAGTGTGACCTAGTCCTGTGACAGGAGGCAGGGACAGTGAGCAAGATGATTACAGTGATCCCTACATCTGGGGAATCAACACATTTTTAAAATGTAAAATCAACCTTGCTTTTTTGGAATAAATCCAATTTTGTCACACTGTTTTATGAGACTTAGTTGGAAACCATAAGGTAGTCAATCAGTTCTGGTAAAGTATCACACTGCATAGCTTTAACACAAAGCTTGGCCTCAGAACTCTGGTCTCAGGAGGTAGGAGAGGCAGACTGGCATTCTCTTGTTAACTGCTAAGATGGGAAAACAGAAAAGGAGGCTAACATTCTGCTATATCACACAGAAAGGGATGAATTCTAGCCTTTGATCTTGCTACAAGAAGGGCTGGTATTTTCCCAACCAGGCATCTTAAAAGCCCCTCCTCCCAGTGTGCAGTGCCTAACCCTACTAGATCCCTTTGAGTTACCCCAGTAAGTGATGGGCAATGGGGACACAGCTCGTGACTCCATGAGTTTTCCTCAGTAAACAAGGTTCTGAGAGATCTGGGTGTCTGTGTGTGTGTGTCTGTGTGTGTGTTCCAGCCATTTATCCTTGTTTGCCCAACAATTACCTTTTTCATATAATGTTGGGTTTATCTTACTGATATGATGTTTAGGATTTCTGCACACATGTTCATGAGTGAGACTGTAGTTCTTTTTTCTCATGGTGTCTTTGTTTTTTTTTAACAATGAATGAATTAAGTTCTTTTTCTTTTCTATGAGTTTATATGAAGCTTGAAATTATATGTTCTTTATATATTTGGCACCCAGCTGTGCCAGAGCCTTCTTTAGTCACTCTAGCTCCCATTTCTTCTTCTGAGCTCTGGCTACATGGCATAACTAGTTATATAATCAGATAGTCTTGGACACTTGTGTTATTGTTTAATGGCTTTGTGTACTAATGTGACCTGTTTCCCCAGTCACTAGAAGGGACTTAAGGACAAGGGTTCTAGGTCTGAAAGTTACATTTTTATTTTATCCTCCACAGCACTTAGCACATGAACTAGTTCCCATAGCAGACATGTAACTCTTGTTTAACTGAATTTAGTAAGAATCATCCATTGGATAAATGACTTTGAGAGTCAATTAAATATCAACTCTACACTCCTTCTAGTTAAAGGAATTATTTACTTCGCTGATGGAAGCTTAGCTTTTTCTATCCTGCTGCATAACTAACAATAACTTTTACAAAAACATATGTTTCCTACCTCTTAAAAGAACCCTTCACATGTTAACATGCTGCCTCTCCATGTAACTGATGAAAACTTTGTTACAATTTGGGAAGTTATAGAACAGGATGATTAGTGTTATTTTTATTAAATTGACTGGAGTGACATTGGTCAACGTGAACATACAGGTTTCATGTGTGAGTTCTATGTTAAAAATCTGTATATTGGCCCTAGTTGGTCTGGCTCAGTGGATAGAGTGTCGGCCTGCGGACTGGGGGGGCCCGGGTTCGATTCCGGTCAAGGGCATGTACCTTGGTTGCGGGCACATCCCCCGTGGGAGGTCTGCAGGAGGCAGCTGATCGATGTTTCTCTTTCATCGATGTTTCTAACTCTCTATCTCTCTCCCTTCCTCTCTGTAAAAAATCAATAAAATTTATTAAAAAAATAAAAAATTAAAAAATCTGTATATTGCACCATGTGCCCATCACCCAAAGTCAAATCTTCTCCTCTCACCTTACATTAGCACTTCTCTCCCCACCCCCATCCCTCTGGCAACCACCACACTACTGTTTGTGTTTATAAAATTCAGTTTTATATTCCACATATGAGTAAAATCATATGGTTCTTAGCTTTTTCTGACTGACTTATTTAGCGAATGAGGGTTCCCTTTTTCCCACAATCTCTTCAATACTTGTTGTGCTTGTCTTGTTGATAATGGCCACTCTAACAGGTGTGAGGTGGTATCTCATCATAGTTTTGATTTGAATTTCCCTAATTGCCAGCGAGGTTGAGCATCTTTTCATATATCTATTGGCTGTTGTATGTCTTCTTGGGAAAGATGTATTTTCAGGTCCTCTGCCCACTTTCTATTGTATTGTTTATTTATTTGGTGTTGAGTTTTATGAGTTCTTTATATATTTTGAAAATTAAACCTTTGTCAGAGCTACTATTTGCAACTACCATCTCCCATCTGGTTGGCTGCCTATTTGTTTTGTTGTCTGTTTCTTTTGCTGTGCAGAAGCTTTTTAGTTTGATATAGTCCCATTGGTTTATTTTTGCCTTTCCTCCCCTCTCCTTTGGGGTCAAGTTCAAAAAATGTTCTCTACAACGCCGGTCCGTAAGTTTGGTACCTATAGTTTCTTCCATGTAACTTATTGTTTCAGGTCTTACATTTAGGTCTTTGATCCATTTTGAATTAATTTTTGTACATGGGGACAGAACAGGATGATTATATATTGAGAATTTTAGATGTAGGCCACATGAATAAAGCAGAGACAAGCGTGGAACCTGAGAGTTCAAGGAACTCGGTTTTAGTGACACTTTTTTTCAAGGTCTGCTGACATTTCCATTCTTTCTTTTAATTTACTGTAAATCTAACTTTTATCAGTTCCAGATGGCAGAAATTTCAGGCTCATTTAAGCAATCTGAAAGGCCAAAATTAGTACCTCAGTCCTAATGTCTTAGGACTCTAAGAGGGCTGGATAGTAGGCTATATATAAGAATATGACAGGCAGCAGCCAAACTCTGTTGAACCAGGGCACAGATCCAGTTGTTGCTAGCACGGAATACAATCTGTGTTAGCAATTATTCTCAGTTTTTCAAAAAAAAAGAGATTTAAATGTTAACTCTTAATTTAAAACAATTTTACTCCCTTTTATTCTCTTCACCAATCTCACTCTCTTCTACCTCGCAAGCAACCATTCTAACGTGCAGCTTTTTTTATTTTAGTGTATTATGTATATTGTTTTGTGTGTATTTTACTTTATGCAAACGTTATTGCATTATACATCTCTTTTTACTTTTTTTCTACACAGCACTATGTATTTAAGATGCACCTATTTGCTTTCTTGTACATTCTGTTTATTGCATCTAACACTACATATCTATCAAGGTATACCTTCATCACATTTTGTTTATCCACTCTCCCAATGATAGAAATCTCCAACTCCTTACCCCCAAATAACACTGCATTCTTTTTAAACACTGTGCAGGCCAAGAATTTAGCCTTCAGACAGCCACTTTGTTTATAACCTTTAAGACAAACCTCTTGCTCAATACCTGGAATTTCTTATCTCCTAACTCCCCCAAAAAATCAATGAAGATTTACAGAGTTCTGTCAGCCATCCAACCATGAGATATGTCATATGCCACCAATATGGCATTTTTATAATAGAACATTCTTTTTAAAATATATTTGTATTGACTTCAGAGAGTAAGGGAGAGGGGGAGAGATTTAGAAACATCAATGATGAGAGGGGATTATTGATTGGCTGCCTCCTGCACATCCACTGGGCATGTGCCCTGACTGGGAATCGAACCATGACCTCCTGGTTCATAGGTTGATGCTCAGCCACTGAGCATGCACACCAGCCAGGCAAAGACAACATTCTTAACTACAAAGTCAATAACTAAAGCAAGCCTACGTATCGCAGAGAAATACTGATGTAAGGCAGGTGCCACCTGCGTTTTGTTGTGGCCTCACTCTCCAGTCCACTAGGTTCCTTTGCACCAGCAAAGAAAGAGCAAGCGTTCACACAGTGGTGCTATACTCTATGAGCCACACACATGCCTTTTCCAATCCTAAGTCATCCCACATAGAAACTCCTTTTGTCACAGAGTTGAGGCAAGAAGCAAAGTAAAAAAAGCACATAAGGAAATGAAAAGCTGTATCTGTAAATGAAAAAGCTTGTTTCAGAAATGCACAAAAATCTGATATTAAGTTGCGTTAGTTCAGAAGCCTTGATCTCCCACACTTTCATGAATCTCCCACTGCTGTTTTGTTTTTGTTTTCTGACTTGGATATCATTCCTCTCTACCAGACCATTTCAGAGTGGAGCCTGAATCAAGGAGGCAAGTAAAGGACAAAAATTAAGGGAAAGCAGTTTTTAGTCCCTTTAAGAACACACCAAGAGCCTCCTAAGTGTAAAGGGAAATGACCACACTGGTCATTTAGAAACTCCTCTAAAATCCAAAAAAAGGTCCAATTATCAGAAAATGAACCAAACCATACGTACTTGCATCCACCAAAATCTTGGGCATACGCTGGCGGTTCATCAGGACCGGGAAGGGATCATGCCCATCATTCCGTTCATGGATCTCTCGAATTTCTACTGTATCATCCATAAGATAGTAATGAATGATGTACTTCCGACATTCACCAAACATGCTGTCTGTATCATCCCAGATTGCATAGAATCGAAGAACCTTTGAGAAATCCAAAGTAGTGACTTAAATACTAATTCTATAAGTGGAGAGTTTAACTTAGCTACTTTGGCATTCATATATCAGACAATAATGAAGAGATTAATTAGGAAGACAATGAAGCAATCTCAAATGGTTAAAAAAAGAGAAATTTTTACCAAACATACAAAAACGTCTGAAATTATATATCAGATATCAATAGCTGGAAAATATTAATAGGCTTATAAATCTGTGCTGAGAAAAAATATTCATTTTGACCCAAAAATATTAGTTAGGTAAAGAGAAGTTGAATTAAAAGAGCAATGGATCCTTTATACAGTTACTAATAAAGGTGCATGTGAATGATTTGTATGTAATTAATATGGAAAGAATTTTCATTTACTCATTAGTCTTTTTTTAGTTTTATCAACACATATCTTCTAGTAATATCAACAACACAATCTTTAAATTCAAAGTAATAACAGATATATGATTGATATAAAGAACATCCTTAAAAAGACTATGATAGTGTTAGGTAAAATTTTCTGAACTAAAAGGAATTACATTTCTGAGAGAAAAAAAGCAGCAAAGAAGCATTGAGGATGATCTTTCCCTTCAGCACAGACTGAAATCTCCTACACACCATGCCCACCAGGGGGAGCACAGGAAGGCTGGAAAAGAGTTGGAAAATACCCAGAACATTCTGTACTCACACATTAACATAAAACTTAACAAGAATCATCTGTAATGGAATGCTTCTGTGAAATTACTATTTGAACATTAGAAATCTACTTATATGCAAAATAAATAATCCATTTAAGGTGTCCCAAAGGATTCTGTTGAGGTTAACTCACATTTGGGAAATAAGTAGCCAGCTGGAAATATAAAGTGGAAAGATGTAGCTCAGGAATGCTCTAAGATTTAAAGGTTTGGTGGAAGTCGTAAGACTTACTTCCACCATCTTCTTTGGATCTCTATAAAACTTTGGCATTCCTAGCCCTCTAACTCTAGATAAAATCCGAAAAATAGCACTGTATCCAAATGGTTATATTATAGGTGTGGTGTTTCAAAACACACACACACCAAAATAGTTTGCTAATAAACATTTCCACACTTGGAAACGAGTTAACTTACCAAGGTGCCTGAGTCACTTACTTGTTTGTCAAAGGTGAGAAACTGCTTGAGTTGATCAAAGTCCGATGGAGTGACATACTGATGAAGAGGCCGTTTCCGAAGTTCTGTGTAAGGATCCAGAGCCATCTTCCCAGGTGGATTTAATTCAATTCCTTGGCTTTCCAAAAATTCCTAAATAATTCAAAATTAATACTGATCACCTTTCTTGAAGCTTCTTTAAGTATTAACTGATGGAATAAAAATAAGTGTAATAATTTCTATACCACTGCCAGGGTTAACCATTAATTTCCACATTGAGCATGTATTCACAGTACTGAGCCTCCAATTGACCCAACTCAATAATGCAGACAATACCTGATTATTACCTTAAGTGTTCTATATTACAAAAATGACGGGCAATATGAGAAGCTCCAAATATAACCTCAGATCAATGGAATTTAGTCAGGTGCCTGAGCACAGAGTAAGGATTACTTACATACATAAATCTGAAACCTAACCAGTTTCAAATATTTAATTCACATCAGGTATAGGGACAAACCGCACAATGGCAAAGTTCAGCTGAAATCAAATTCCCAACTTTCCAACTCATTTAAAACAAGTCTATGATTAGGTCTCCCCTGCAAAATAAAAAAAAAGCAAGCATGCCCACTGGTTTAGACCAGAAAATGTTATAGCAAAACAGGAAAGGCAAATCAAATGCTCACATCTCACCAGAAAAAAAGTTAAGGAAAGCATTTGAACTTGACTTGATTTTGAATTCTATTCTGCTAATTATGTGTAAATATAGTACTATTTTCAGAGTCACTATATTTTTTAATACAACGTGACATTTCTTTTTAAAAGAACCATAATGGATTATGCTTTTTTGAGAATCAGAAAAGAACAACTTCATGGGTTCTGTTTATATTCTGGAACTAGAAATTAACCTAAAATCTAGGTTTCTTTGGGGAATTGTGTAGTTTGCTTTTGGAGAATTCAATAGAAAATATATAGAACACAGGACCAAAATATTTGGGTTCTAGTATTAGCTCTGCACTAACTTGCTTGTAATCTTAGTATTTAAAGTTTACTAGGCAGTCTCCAATATTCTTTCAATATTAAAATATTATGAATTTTAATGTCTACTAAATCAACTAAGTTGGAGATACTGACTGGCAATAAAAATTCTCCTCTCCTTTGAGGTGGTGTATTAGTGTAGCAGGATTATTGGTTGAGATACTTAATGTGTTGTACTCCTTTCTATTGCTTTCAACAGATAACCAGGCCCTTTGTTAACCTTACCTTAGGAATTTGGGCAGGAATTGAAAAACTTCCTACGGATGACAGTACTTCCTGTCTCTTAGATAAAGCCTAAACTCTTTGATGAGATTATTTTAAAGGAGGGGAGAGAGGGGAATGTCTTTGAGGGCAAGAGAAGAGAAAGGGGGAAATTCCCCCAGACTGGAAAACAGACGCAGTTGGTGGTTCTCAGAATAGCAATACTGTACACGTGATCTGCAGGGATGCTCCGAGCACCTGTGCAGCCAGGTACATTTAATCTCAGGCGTTCGGAGTTCCAGTGTCTTACCTAGCACCAAACATCAGAAGCCCTGCCTATAGGACTCCTTTAAGTCTGGGAATGCTTCCTTGTTCTTAGGGCTTGAAAACTTTGGCAAAGCTGAGGGTGAATAGAAATACGAGCTTAGTTGGACTGGGCCTCAAGTAGGTTTTAAGTCACTTTTTAATATATTTTTTGCACATCGGCATTTGTGCAAAAAATAGAGTTCATATCTACTTTACTAGCAGTAATACTTTAGTGAAGAGCCCGGCCAGTGTGGCTCAGCAGTTGAGTGTCAACCCAGGAACCAGGAGGTCGCTGGTTAGATTCCCAGTCAGGGCACATGCCCCGGTTGTGGGCTTGATCCCCAGTGTGGGGCAGGCAAGAGGCAGTTGATCGATGACTCTCTCTCATCATTGATTTTACTATCTCTCTCTCCCTCCCCCTTCCTCTCTGAAATCAATAAAAATATTTTTTAAAAATACTTTAGTGAAGATAAATTCTATTATCTCTGATTTCTGGAGCTTTATTTTTTAATGTGTTCAGTTCGTTCTGTCTATAGGACCAAACATTTATTTGTAGTAATGAGGAGGGGTTAGAAGGGATGGTGGTGATGATGATATGTTTAAGGAGAGGTGGTTTCTTATTCAAATCACACCCTAAAGACAGCTATCTTCCTTATCCATCCACAGGTCCGGCCCTAATGAAAACCACTAAATTAAACAAAATGCATACATTTTAAACTGTTTAAGGAGCCAACTTCTCACATAACAGATCAATTACTGAAAACACAATTCAATCTAATTATCAGTGCCCGATATACACAGCTCTAGTTTATTATCAGTCATTACAATATTCACAAATTCTGTATTTGCAAATTTACCTACTTCCTAAAATTTATTTGTCTTTCAGACATGCATGCAGTGATGAAAATCTGAGTTGCCTAATGCACACATTCATAGCTGAGGTTGAACAAAGTGACATTCTCGGTGTTTCAGCTTTTGTATTGAAAAAGTATCCTTTTTGTGGTCTCTTTAGTGCCACTTTTTCTCACTTTGTGCATTTGTTGATGATTTTGCTGTTTAAAATGCCCCAACCTTAGTGCTGACGTACTGTCTCATACTCTACATGAAAGAAAGCTGTGATATGTACTTAATGTCACTAAACTATACATCTAAAATTGTTAAAATGATAAATTTTATGTTATGTATATTTTACCACAATTTTTTAAAAGTCAGGCTGATGTCCCTGAAGGAGGAAATACATGTGTGAGATAACCTTCATTCAGGTGTGAGTTTGATGTTAATGAATCAACAGTATATTCTAAATGTGGCATTCTGAAACAGAAACACATTAAACAAGTTTATGTATCCAATGGGTTGATGAAAACGTGGTGACCAGAGACTTGTAGGAACCTAACCCTGTATTTCTCCTTGGAGCAATGGTGCAGTGTTTGCTAATGAAGTGTTTCTGGTAACTATAGAACAAAACTACCATGAATATTAAAAACTGACTGTTGCTGAAACCGGTTTGGCTCAGTGGATAGAGCGTCGGCCTGTGGACTGAAGGGTGCCAGGTTCGATTATGGTCAAGGGCATGTACCTTGGTTGCAGGCACATCCCCAGTAGGAGATGTGCAGGAGGCGGCTGATCAATGTTTCTCTCTCATCGATGTTTCTAACTCTCTATTCCTCTCCCTTCCTCTCTGTAAAAATATCAATAAAATATATATTTTTAAAAAAGAACTGATTGTAACTGGTTTAGATCAATTGCTCAGTGATCAATTTGCAAATGTTCAAATTGTTCAGAGAGACACAACTGTAAAAATAAACTTAATAACTCAACTTAAAGTAACATTTTCTAATTTCTCATTTTTGGTACAATTCTGAAACTGCCTATGATTTAAAGGACCTAAAAAACCTAAGAAATGACAGAACAAAACATGCTTGAAGGGGACAATATCTCAAAGATGGTCTAGCACCTCAATCTTCTGTAGAATTTTTCTCTGTTGCTTTGGGATGACACAAGTGCCGTGGCTCCTTTTCTTACTTCCTTGAGGTCTTTGTTCACCTGTCACCTTATCTGTGAGGCCTTCCCTGACCAGCCTTCATATAGAGCAACTCCAACTTCCATCCCATTTACTCTGATTTAGTTTCTTCGATAGCTCTTATAAGCATCTGACACATTATAAATTTATTTATTGTTTCCTCCTCCAACCAGAATGTAATCACCTCCATAAGGGCAATTCTTTATACTTGGCACCTATGACAGTGCCTGGCACATAGCAGGCACTCAATAAGTATTTGCTAAATAAATTACTAAATTAAAAAGATAAATGAGTGAATTCATAAGAGCTCAGTGCATGGTAAAAACTAATTTTATCTGGCATTAGGTAACATGAGATTAAAGGAATAAAATAACTGAGAAACTATATTTGCTTCTAGTGCTTTTATTTTTAAAAAATATATGTTTTTATTGATTTCAGAGAGGAAGGGAGAGGGAGAAAAAGACAGGAACATCAATGATGAGAGCGAATCACCGGTCAGCTGCCTCCTGCAAAACCCCAATTAGGGATTGAACCCAAAACCCCAGCATGTGCCCTGATCAGAAATCGAACTGTGACCTCCTGGTTCATAGGTTGACGTTCAACCACTGAGCCACATGCATACATTTTGTGCTTTTAAAAAAGGTGGTCTCTCTCTGTCTATGGTAAGAAAATCCATATTTATGAAATAGAGAAAGCAGAAGATTTTTGTCAATATAAAAAAAAGTGTTGTCCTTTAAAAATGGTTTTATTTCAGGAATTCTTTAGAGAGCAAGTGTCCCTATTATATAGCAAGTATGATTTACAGGAAAAAAATATAAATTACACAGAAAAATTTAGGCTCATATCTGCTAATAGAGATAGTACTATTTTTGTGAACTCAAACTTCAGGTACATTGTCCAATGCATCTTTCCTATTTCCACCCCATCAAGGGTGCTACCTCTTCTACTCGCTATTTGAACTGGTATGTAAATTGGTTTCTTATCAAAGGCTTCAGCTATGATGGAAGTTAATTTTATTTGAATGGCTATGTTTCAATATCATTGTGAAAAAATGATATCACTGCATAGTTTTGGCACATACACAAATACCAAATCAACCTATATAATAATCCATACAAGGCAGATTATCTTACTCTAATAAGTGATATGTATCCTTCCATAAATTAGAATGCCTCAGAGACCACAACTTCCAAAAATATATACTATACCTGTGTGAATCCATCACAGTCAACAATGTGGAAAGTTCTGCCATAAACTGTAATGTTTATTCCTCGGTTTAGGTCTTTCCAATGGTAATGGTCTCCTCGGTCGTTCTTGGGTAAGCGCTGACGTTTGATCAGCTTGCCTTGAGGGATCCCAGAGTTTTCCACAAGGGGCTCCATGACTGACATGCTGTCATCTTCCAGGTAGTAGTAAATGTGCACTTGACGGATCCTATAGTGTTCGTCAGTGGACATAGAAACATCTTCTTGAAAATAGGCATCAAACTTCAGTACCTATAACACATAAGGGAAGAAAAAATGGTGTTGTATTAGTTTCTCATCCAGAAAATGTCAAGTACCCTCCTGTAAAGAGAAATCTCACAGAGGGATTTGAATATTCATCACTCCTATCTACTAAATCAAAGATTGCCAAATTATGGTCCATGAGTTAAATATACCCGTCACCTGCTCTTGTATACAGACTAAGAATGTTTTTTTTTACCTACTTAGGTGATTAAAAATCAATAGAATAAAATTTCACAACACATAGAAATTATATAAATTACACAAATAATTTAACATTTATTTGCTAATGGCTGCTTTCCCATTACAAGGGCAGAGTTGTGAGTAGTTGTGATCGAGAGACCATTTGGGCTGCTGCTATGGTCTGAATTGTGTCCCAAATTTATATTGAAGCCCTAACCCTCGATGTGACTATATTTGGAGATAGAGTCTTTACAAGTAATTAAGCTTAAATGAGGTCCTAAGGGTGGGGACACTAATCCAATGGAAATAATGGCATTCTCCCCTGCCCCCACTCTCAGCACATACCGAGGAAAGGCCATGTGAGGCCAAAGCAAGAAGGCAGCTGCCTGCAAGTCAGGAAGAGAGCCCCCATCAGAAACCAA